TTTTCATAAGTAATGCCTGTGTAACAAATACAATGGATGGTTTTTGGGGGGGATGTGAACACTTGGATGTGAAATTAAATTCTTTGGGATCAATTTTATGTAATATGAGCAATATTTTTCCAGATATTAGCCATATATGGTCTGACAACAGGATTTATTCTGTAAAAACAAATATTTTCACCAGACTTTAGTCAGTGTGCTGATCTCCACAGTACACACCTTTGGATGTTATACACACATTCCAGCATCTCTGCCATGCATGAAAGAACTGGAAATAATTTTGTGACTTTTTTTCTGTGCTATAACATTACTTTATGTAGTAGTTCTTACAGTGGAGACACATGGTGTGTATTAACAATATCGTATTTGTGTTATCATTTGGTATGATGTTTTGTTTCAGTGCTTTTCAGCAGGTGCTGAAATAGGCCCACATAAAAGTGAACATGCTTATCAATTCATGGTAAGTTTGTTAAATATTTATCTTTGCTTGTGCCATTCATTAATATTTTAGTCATTGACACTTTGACTGCCAGGTTGCACCACAGAACTGTTTGCTAGAGTTACCAAGGTTACATTGCTCAGAAATAGCAACAGTACTTCTTGAAGTTAGTTTCGCAGGACCATAGATGCAAATAGTGAGAAGGCATGTTCTTTCCTCTTATTTTTTTATTGCTAGTGGGGTCGGACTAAGTCCCTTGTACTGCGGCCACTTCTGGCCTATTGTATCATCCCCAGATGATAGGTGAGGGTGATTGTGGAGCAGTTGGTGGAATGAAGATTGGCATGGGAAACCGAAGTACTCGGAGAAAACCTGCCCCAGTGCCACTTTGTCCACCACAAATCCCACTTGACCAGACCTGGGATCAAACCCGGGCCACCACGGTGGGAATCCAGCGGCTAACCTCTTGAGCTATGGCGTGGCCTATAATAGTGTGTTACGATATCTCCAAAATGTAGTAGTAACCAATGTCACAGTGATAATATTTTATGAAAAATTAATGATGATAACCAGGGATTGAAAAACATGGCACCAGTGACAACTGAACAATTCAGCCAGCCAGTAGTTCCCCACATGGTATTTTGAAATTTGGTTTAGGAGTTCCAGTAATTCCGGTATACTTGTGGTACAGAGGAAATGATGAACCACATTAAACAAAAGCTAAGATCAGTATAATCAAGTTACAGTAGTTAATCTCTTTTATATTTTATTTTTTCNGTTTTTTAGAATACAGGTAATCCTTAGCATATATAATGAAATGTGTGTATGTAATTTTTACAGGATTCAGGTGCCATTGGCATGTGCCTGGGTCGTGGGGGTTGGTCTGCTCGAGAAGAATTGCATCTTCTTGATGCAATCGAACAGTTTGGGTTTGGCAACTGGGAAGACATAAGTAGACATATAGAGACTCGTTCTCCAGAAGGTATTAAATTGTTCCTACACATTATATTTTGTGAATTAAGTGTAAGGTTAGTAAGATGTACCAAAGTATTAATTTAAATATGAGATATAACCTGGTGCTGCAGTTGTAAGAACAAAAACCAAGAAAGGGAAGTCAGAATTCGTACCAGGGGCCACTTGTAATGAACTCTCACTTAAGATGTTTATGATGAGAAGCAGGTATAACAGATGGGATGAGTATGGTCTTTGGATTGCCAGTGAAGGTACCAAAATAAGGATGTATGGGACACCTTTTCCTCTATTGGGACTTAGTGACTGTAAGGTTAGAATTTTGTGTACAGTGACCTGATTGGGATTCTGCACTTTGAAAAAGTCCAGGATTATAGTTGGTGGTGGGAGGGAGGTGGTCTGTAATGAGATTTTTGTGAATGAGCAGTTCATTTCTTAGTGATATAAAGGGTATTCACAAGGGTTGCAGGCCGGTTCTGCTTGCCACAGTTCAAATTAGCATTTTTCTGATTTAAACAATAAACTATCAGTTCGGTACAAATTATTTTCTTGTCTTCCTTCAGTCTGCTGCTGCATTTGTTGCACTTGTTATTGCAGAGGCCAAGGAGGAATACATTTCAAGATATATAGGTGGTAGTATTGGCCGTTTAACATGGCCTGCGGCTGCCAGTTCCAGGCCAAACCTGAGTGACCAAACTAATCCAGACTGTGGTCCACTGTCACCTGCACTCACTGCCAGACTTCCACCTTTGGATGTTACTCCTGATGAAGCTGCGCTACTTGGTTACATGCCTCAACGAGATGACTTTGAAAGGGTATGTTTATGTGTCCTTAGAATATGTAGGTGATTAAATTCTTTACAGAATTATCCAGTAACTTATTTGGACCAAGAGAGATGAAGTGACAGAAGGTTGGAGAAAACTTCATAATGAGGAGATTCATAACTTGTACTCATCTCCAAGTATAATTAGAATGGTTAAGTCAAGGAGGATGAGGTGAACAGGGCTTGTAGCACGAATGAGGGAGACAAGGAATGCATGTAGGATATTGGTGGGAAAGCCAGAAGGAAAGAGACCACCGGAAAGATCAAGGCTTAGGTGGGTGGAAGGACCTGTGGAGGGCTCTTGTGAACACGGTAATGAACCTTTGTGGTCCATAAAATGCTGGGAAATTCTTAAGTAGCTGCAGAATTGGCGGTTCCTCAAGAAGGGCTTAGCTCCATGAGTAAGTAAGTAAGTGTTATCCGGTAACTGTGTTTCATTCTTAAGTTTAGTATATTGTCACAATTCATGTATGTCGCTATAGACTGGGTTTGGATTGGTGACTCAATTTATGGAAGGTGTACGTGAAGAATGAATTCAAGATGTATTTTACTTAAATTTACGTTCATTGCATTTCATTAGATTGATAAATCACAACATATTTCAGGAATATGACAATACAGCAGAATCCTTGGTGTCCTCGTTATTTGTGAACAGTTTAGAAGATGAAGATTATGATGTTGGTGAGTCTCATTATAACCTTTGTAATTTGGTTTCTGTAATTACTGTTGGTGTTTGAAACTTCTTTTAAAGACAGAAAAGTCTTAAGCGATCAATGATAATTGAACTTGAACTGTAGATATAGGAGACATAGAAATGGAGGAACATTCATCAGCCCAAGTGATTATAGATAAGCTGACAGTGAGTTTGACTAATATTACATTGTCCTTGCCTCTTCTAGTCTACAAATAAACAACTTGTACTTTTCATCAGAAATAACCAGTTTGCAGAACTTGGGAGTTAATTTCTTGAAAACTTATCATGTTTAGCAAAACCATGAAACCACAAAATGCACAAAACTGTGAAAACACATTAAACTAATTTACGTATATAAATGTATGTAATATAAGCTATTTCCATCATGTCATGAACGTAGAAATATGGTCTACATAGTGAATATGAAGGGTGCTGTCTTTTGAGATCTGACACTGTAAAGTCTGATAGAGGTTTACTGAGGTTTGAGATGAATGTACTACCTGCATCTTCAAGGTCAAAGGTTATTCTCATCAAGTAGAGCTTGCTTGTTGCATCCTCATTTTGCTCTTGGAACCTGAGAAAGCAGGCTGTACCTTCCTTCACAGTATAGTTAAAACTTGTAGCAGACCACAAGGCATCAGATCCCAGAAGGTGGTAATACTATTCATAGTTACCACCATGAGAATCACATTTAGCTTAATAAATATGCTTTGGAAACATTATTAAATTGTCATAAAAGTGATATTTCCTGAGAATTTAAGATGAAGTTTGAGAAGCAGAAGTGACCTTATAGAAAAGCTCCTGAGGTTGCTAGCAAATTTTAAGCTATTCAGCAAGACGACAGCAAACTGATGGTCATAAGGAGTATTAGTGAACATGCAATTACAGACATTCACATTAAGCAAAGAGCAATTACTGTATATTTGTAGCAGACATTTTGGTGTTTATATGAGGTCACAAAATTCATTTCTTTTTGTGTTGTATATGTCTTTTTCTGTTTGTACATCAGGTATTTCATTTTACATCATTGAAGCCTATGAAACTTAATTTATAATTGTGCACAGAATAAAATAATATTATTAACCTTGATTTATTTCCATATGTTAAGCTCTCAAATTGGCCCAAGTTGACATGTACACTCGAAGACTACGAGAGAGAGCTAGACGGAAACGGGTATCGCGAGACTTCCAACTGGTGTCACAGTTTTTCTCAGCCAACCGTAAAGACAGGCCTTCATCAAGGAAGAAATTATCAAAGGAAGAGAAGTAAGTTCATTGTAGTTTGCAGTTTAAGGAGAGTAAAACTTCTTCATTTGAGAGTTTTTGAAACCAAAAATGCATTGAATTAAATTGGCTGGAGCATCATACACTGTGAAGGCCAAGTACAGAAAACTTTTGCCCCAGTGGATTTTTTGAGTTGACCTAATCCTTCCAGCCACACTAGGCCCTGGGGTTTACTCAGCCTCTAACAGAAATGAGTACCAGGAATTAATAAGGCTGACAACCTTACCGCCATCTTTGAGCCGATTGTCTAAATACTGTGGGACCCTCAACGTCTCACAACCCTATGAGCCTTCACAGCCTGGTACAGGGATAGCTTTACTTACTTTTTACTTTTAGAGAGAAAGGAACATCTGAAACTGAGTGTGCTACACTTTCTGCATCTTGGGGCAACGGCCTGGAGTTCTGTAACTTCTGATACTAGGGAACACTGCTTCAGTGCGTGGATATGTGTTTACCGAGCCATTGCCTGACAATACGTTGATCAGATATGTTACAGTACTAAGAAACTTCAATTTTATGATGCAGGGAGTTTCATGACCACATGAGAGTGTTCACACAGTTCCACACTGCCCAGGAGCATGAACAGTTCCTCCAGAACTTGCAGAAAGAGAGAGAACTCAAGATAAGGATAAGTGAACTGGCAAGGTATCGACGAAATGGGCTGACGCGACATGAAGAATGTGCACACTTTGAGCAAGAACGAGTTCAGCATGAAGAATGGAAGGAGAAGAGATCTGTAAGTTGCATTTTTATTATAATTACTGTGTACATATTGAAAATGCATGCTGAGTATGAGGACATACTTTGTTGCTTCCTCTCTGTGCCCAGAGCAGCACCAGGAAGTGGAGGCAAGATAAAAAGAGAGGGGCATGTTGTCAAGACAACACAGCAGAGTCAGATAAATTTACAGTTATCAACAGCTTCTAGACCATCCATACCATTTGCAATTTAGTGTACTACATCAACATTTTGCATTTATAAATTTCTCCCCCCCCCCTCT